ACATGTTGTGGGGTTGTTAACCAATGTCATAAAACAATATGTGTACTACTGTTTCATGAGAAACTATTTGTTCTGTAAGCCTTCACCTGAAGTACAATTAAAAAAAAAAAGATTGCCCTTCGAAGGATCCTGTTAATCAGATTAAAGATAAGCTACAGACTGGGAGAAAATATTTGCAAACCACATATCTGACAAAGGACTCATATCTAGAATATGTAAAGAACTCTCAAAACTCAACTTTAAAAGTACAAAATGCGCATTTAGAAATGGGCAAAAGACAAGGAAACATTTCACCCGAAAGGATATATTAATGGCAGATAACACATGAAAAAATGTTCAACATCACTAGCCATTAGGGAAATGCAAATGCAAATTAAGACCATGCTCACTACATACCTATTAAAAAAAAAAAAAAAAACTCGTTACCATCCAGCTGCTTCTGACTCATTGTGACCCTCTAGGACAGAGTAGAACTGCCCCTTAAGGTTTCCAAGGAGCAGCTGGTGGGTTCAAACTGCCTACCTTTTGGTTAGCAGTCGAACACTTAACCACTGTGCCACCAGGGCTCCATGTACCTATTAGAAGAGCTAAAATAAAAAAGTGACAATACCAAATTCTGAAAAGGATGTAGAGAAACTGGATCTCTCATACATTGTTGGTAAGAATGTGAAATGATATAGCCACTCTGGAAAATAGTTCGGCAGTTTCTTAAAATTAACTAAACTTATTATATAATCCATCAGTTGTACTCCTGGGCATTTATTCCAGAAAAGTGGAAACTTATATTCACACTGTTTATAACAGCTTTTGAACATAGCCAATAACTGGTAACAACATAGATATACGCAGCAGTTGAATGGTTAAACAAACTGTGGTACATCCATACCATGGAATACTACTCAGCGATAAATAGGAACAAACTATTGATACACAAAACAATTTAAATGGCTCGCAAGGGCATTATGCTGAGTGAAAACAGTCAATCTCAAAAAGTCACATACTGTAGGACTTCGTTCTCGAAATGACAAAATTATAGAGATAGGAAGCAGATTAGTGGTTGCCAGGGATTAGGGATGGTGGGGAAGCGATAGTGGTAGCACAAACGAGGTATTTGTGATTATGGAGTAGCTCTATTTCTTGATTACAGTGGTGGTTACACAAATCTATACACTGTGTACATATTTATGTGATAAAAATGACCTAGAACTATAACCACACATTATACCCATGTCAAATTCCTGATTTCAGTATTATACTATAATTATGTAAGATGTAACCATTAGAGGAAAAGGGTACATGGAACTTCTCTGTACTATCTTTGCAATTTCCTGTGAATCTATAATTATTTCAGAATTAAAAGTTAAAAAAATCAATCAAGGTGAAAGATGTCCAAAAAAAGCAATTCTTTTTCTGTTTTTTGATAAACCTATACTATCATTTGGAATAAGATACCCAAGAGATGGGCAATTCTTTTTGTCTTTTTTATACCATATGATAGCTACTTTAATATTTAATGCTCTGAGAGGTATTTTTATTTCTCATTTGCTATAAGAATATTACTGTTTTATTTATAGAGAATTTTAAATTATGAATAACTATGTAGATTTTTAAAGTTTTTAACACATTTGTATTCCAAAAATGAAAGATTTTTCCTTTTAATGCTGTGTAACTGAAAATAACTAAGATTTCTCATAACTCTAAACATATCTCTGTCTTATCTTTTTTGTTTAGACAATTACTTACTTCTACAGCCATTTTGCACAAAAGCTCAGTTTTTAAATGGAAAAGCAAAACAGGATATGACTGAAAAGCTTGCTGGTAAATATTTTTAATTATAATTTTTAAAGAAATATCTTATGAACTAATGATAAATTGATGTCCTTTGAATCTTATTTTAGGATAGCTACTAATCCATATCATTACTTATGAAGTAGAAATAAATTGTATAACCATCCACAAGAGAACCTTTTGAGATTTTATCCCAAAAATTTTCTTCAAAAAAAAATTATGTTTTTTTCTAGTAAGTGTTCAGGCTTCCTATTAGTAGAAATAATACCGGGAAAAATACAAAGACATTAAAAGCAAGTATCGGTGTTCATAGAAAACTGCTGTTTCAAAATATGTGTTTCCTAAAAGGTCTCTGTGTTTAAAATGTATAAATTTTTATTTAACAACATTTGGAAAACATCAAGGTGAATTTGGGCTTCGATTTCTGTCTTTGCTACTTTTCCCTAAACTAATCATTACGTATGGAATTCTCATGCTGGAAGATTGCAGTCCTAGGAGGACAGTTTCTGACCTCTTGTTTCTTTACTTTTCTTTAAGTGCCGAATATTTTAGGACAAATGGCATTGAGAAGAAGCTTAGGAAATTTTGTTGTTGTTGTGTGCTGTCGGGTAGATTCCAACTCATAGTAACCCTGTAGGACAGAGTAGAACTGCCTCATAGGGTTTTCTGTACTGTAATCTTTACAGGAACAGATTGCCAGGACTTTTCTCCTTCAGAGCCACTGGTGGGTTTGAATTACAGACCTTTCGATTAGCATCTGAGTGATTTAACCATTGTGCCACCAGGACTCCTTAGTAAATTGTAGGTGTTTTTTAATTAGCAGAACTTGTATTATTTAAAAAAACAAACAAACTGACTGTTTACCATGTTTTTGTATTTCAGATATTGTTATGGAACTTTATCAAAGGAAGCCCCATGCCACAGAACAGAAAGTGTTGGTTGTTTTGTGGCACCTCTTAGGGAACATGACAAATAGTGGCTCTCTGCCTGGAGCTGGAGGAAATATACGAACAGCCACAGCTAAATTATCGAAAGCACTTTTTGCACAGATGGGTCAGAATTTGTTAAATCAGGCTGCATCTCAGCCACCACATATCAAAAAGAGTTTAGAAGAACTGCTTGATATGACAATTTAAAATGAATTATAAATCTTACTCTGAAATACAGTATGATGAACAAAACAGTTTACATGGTGACAAACGGAACACTTTTAAAGTTAACATTTTCAGTGCCTGCACTTCTCATCCAGTAAATTAAGTAAATGACTATTTTTATTTTTAGCCTGTGAGTATATATCTGTCCTGTATCAATCCTACCACTTGCACCCATCACACAAAAACCTAAAATAATTAATATAACCTAATATTCATGAAATCTGAGGTCACATGAAAATAATCCAAGTTTAATATTTTTGAAAAAAGTCCTGCTCATTTGCACTGTTCTATAGAAACTGCAAATTGTTACCCTATATGTACAATTAGATTTGTAATTAAAAATATACTTTTTATTATGTAATCATGTTCTGCTATGTCTCATTACTCAGCCTTATTTTATGAAGTGGAAGAAAAGTCATTGAACTATGTTATCACAAACTAAGTTTTGTGTGTTATTTGTGGAAAAACATGTATTTCTGAAATCATTCTGCTAATATGATTGTTCAGTATTAGCTTGCTTTTGCTCCTGTGTTAATGTGATATATTTGCTTACCTTTTAGGTTTAATCATCTATATAATCGTGAAATTTAGCGAGTTATAATAAAGCATGATGACCAAAGTTTTAGGAAACTTTTAAACATTTTAAATGCAAGTTTAAGAAAACATTGAATGTAACTTCCCTATTTTTGTGTGCAAACACTAAATTTTATTTCTATATGTCACAACATTTTTAAAGGTGTTATTTTGCTGGCCATTTGTGTAATTCTCAAAAATAGTGCCAGGTCTTCTATAGATTTTCTCAGAATTCTTGAGCTACAAGTACTGTATGCATCTTTAAAAAAGAAAAGGAATGTTATAAAATAAAAGGATTTATTTCTGTAGATGTGTAAGAGGTGTCATGTTTTTCCAATTTTCATATATATTAAAATCAAAAAGTATATATTATAATATTGACATATCACTTTCATCCTAACAACAGACCTGGGTTATAGTACCAGCTTTACAGGTTAGCTGTGTGACCTTGGCAAGCCACTTACCTGGTCTGGACCTCAGTTTTCTCATCTGTAAAATGTAAGGGCTGAACTAGATGTTTCTTAAGGTCCCATCCTGCTCTAAACTCTATGATTCTATGTTGTAGTTTGCTCAATGATCACATTATTAAAATGTAAACTATGTTCATTCTTTTTCAGTTCTTATCACTGACTAATTTTCTAATATACTGAGCTGCTTTTTTAATTGTGATTCTTTGTTTTAATCCACAACTCTTCTGAGAAAAAACAAAAACCAGGTTTTGCTTATATTTGCCACTTCTTTAAGCTAACCTGAAGGGGGAGTAAAGAGGTGGTTACTTGTTCTATTTATATGCACTATTTTATAATTACATACACTTTTTTAAATACCTTATCTTTTCTTCCAAGTGTATTTTGTTATGTTCCTGTAGTTTCAACCATCAGTTGGCAGTCCTTTTCTGTAAAGGGCCAGAAAATAAATATTTTAGGCTTTTAGGCCACAGATTGTCACATATATATATATATATATTTATACTTAATTTTGCAAACCTTTAAAAATGTAAGAAACATTCTTAGTTCAGGCCCTACAAAAACAGGCCTCTGGCATAGTTTGCCAACCCCAGGTTTAGACTCTTTTCATGTCAGCTGTAATTCTGAAATGTTCTTTGAATTTTTTCTCTACTCTTTGTGATATGCATCATTGTAACAGTAGTTACAAATTCCCAGTTTCATTAATTATGACCACTGTCCCTTGTCATGTCAGTGCACATGTGCTCATAAATTTGTGTTGATTGATGGTTCGATGTATTGTTGTTTTTGTTGTTGCTAGGTGCTGTCAAGTTGATCCTGACTCATAGCAACCCTGTGTACAACAGAACAAAACACTGCCCAGTCCTGTGCCATCCTCACAGTCGTTGCTATGTTTAAGCTCATTGTTGCAGCCACTGTGTCAATCCATCTCAATGAGGATCCTCCGCTTTTCTGCTGACCCTCTACTTTACGAAGCATGATGTCCTTCTCCAGGGACTGGTCCCTCCTGATAACATGTCCAAAGTACGTGAGACAAAGTCTCGCCATCCTCGTCTCTAAGGAGCATTGTGACTGTATGTCTTCCAAGACAGATTTGTTTCTTCTTCTGGCAGTCCATGGTATATCCAGTATTCTTCGACAACACCATAATTCAAAGGCATCAGTTCTTCCTCGATCTTCCTTATTCATTGTCCAGCATTCGCGTGCATATGAGGTGATTGAAAATTCTTGGTGGCTTGGATCAGGTGCACCTTAGTCCTCAAAGTAGCATCTTTGCTTTTTAACACTTTTTTAAAGAGGCCTTTTGCAACACATCTGCCCAATGTATTATGTCATTTGATTTCTTGACTGCTGCTTCCATGGGCATTGATTGTGGATCCAAGTAAAATGAAATCCTTGACAACTTCAGTATTTTCTCCATTTATCATGATGTTGCTTATTAGTCCATTTATAAGGATTTTTGTTTTCTTTATGTTGAGGTGCAGTCCATACTGAAGACTATACTCTTCGCTCTTCACCAGTAAGTGCTTCAAGTTCTCTTCACTTTCACCAAGCAAGGTTGTGTCATCTGCATATTGCAGGTTGTTAATGGGTGTTTGCAGCTGTTTCTTCTCATTTTGAGTCAGCCACATTAGCAAATGAAGGTCCTGAAAGCTTGACTCCATCCAAGTCATTAAGGTTGACTGTACTTTGAGGAGGCAGCTCTTCCCCAGTTGTATTTTGAGTGCCTTCCAACCTGAGAGGTCACCTTCCAGCACTATATCAGACAATAGACATGCTGCTATTCATGCGGTTTTCACTGGCCAATTTTTTCAGAAGTAGACTGCCAAGTCCTCCTTCCTAGTCTGTCTTAGTCTGGAAGCTCTGCTGAAACCTGGTCACCATGGATGACCCTGTTGGTATTTGAGATACCAGTGGCATAGTTTCCATCATCACAGCAACACACAAGCAACCACAGTACAACAAACTGACAGATGAATGGTGGTGGCTGGGATATATTGAAGGTAAATTTTAAATTTCAAAGGTAAAAGAGGACCATTTCTTAACTATGTATAAGCTTAGTTATCCTTTATTTTGATATAGATTGAACTTTGCATTGAAAAAAAGTGCAGTGAATATAATCACTACTAATAATGTGAATCTTTTCACCATACTTACCCAATCTGTATGCTGAGCAAATAATCTGAGAAGCTAGACTATATAAAGAAGAATGTGGATCAGGATTGGAGAAAGACTCATTTACAACCTCCAGTGTGCAGATGACACAACCTTGCTTGCTGAAAGTGAAGAGTACTTGAAGCGTTTACACTGACGAAGGTCAAAGACTGCGGCCTTCAGTATGGATTACGTCTCAACATAAAACAAAAATCCTCGCAACTGGACCAATAAGCAAGATCGTGATAAACGGAGAAAAGATTGAAGTTGTCAAGGCTTTCATTTTACTTGGATCCACAATCAACGCCCATGGAAGCAGCATTCAAGAAATCAAAAAATGTATTGCGTTGGGCAAATCTGCTGCAAAAGACCTCTTTCAAGTGTTAAAAAGCAAAGATGTCAGCTTGAGGACTAAGGTGCACCTGACCCAAGCCATGGTATTTTCAAACGCTTCATGTACATGTGAAAGCTGGACAGTGAATAAGGAAAACCAAAGAAGAATTGATGCATTTGAATTATGATGCTGGTGAAGAATATTGAATATACCATGGGCTGCCAGAAGAAAAATCTGTCTTGGAAGAAGTACAGCCAGAACTCTTCTTAGAAGCGTGGATGGTGATACTTTGTCTTGCTTATTTTGGACATGTTATCAGGATGGATCAGTCCCTAGAGAAGGACATGCTTGCTAAAGTAGAGGGTCAGTGGAAAAGAGAAAGACCCTCAATGAGATGGATTGACACAGTGGCTGCAAGAATGGGCTCAAACATAGCAACGATTATGAGGATGGCATAGGGCCTGGCAGTATTTTGTTCTGTTTGTACATAGGGTCGCTGTGATTCTTAACTGATTTGACAGCACCTAACAACAATAATAATGTGAAAACCTTACTTCACGTAATCTGTGTGCTGTACTTTATTATAAAGAAAATAGCCATTATTTTAAGAATCTTAAGCCTTAAAGATTTGCTCTATTTTAGTAACTTCTTGATATTGAGCTCTCAGAAGTGAAGAACTGTTAACGCAGAAGTCAACAAAGAATTGGAGACTGATCGCTGATTAAAGTAACTAAAGAAAAGCTGAAGGCCTGAATAAATTTTAATAAAGAAACTTATTTTATATGAACAGTGGTAATTATAAGTCTAAGCACATCTGGTCCGGATCTAAAAAAATAATAAAAATTTTAATGGCATATTTACCCAATGGAATCTATATCATAAGGTCATTGAAAATCACAGTTCAGTGTTAGAATTCCCACGTGTGTGGGAAATGCGAGTTGGATTCTGGACAATGCACCTTATGTGCAGCCACCACCGATCTGACAGTGGAGCCTTGCGTGTTACTATGATGCTGAACAGGTTTCAGAAGAGTTTCCAGACTAAGGATGGACTAGAAAAAAAGGCTTGGTAATCTACTTTTGAAAATCAGCCAATGAAAACCAATGGATCCAACGGTCTAATCTGCAACCAATCATGGGGATGGTGCAGGACCTGGTTCAGGACCAGGCAGTGTTTCCATTGTTAATAGGGTCACCATGAGCCGGGGGCTGACTCGACAGCAGCTAACAACAACCACAAAACACTGATCACAGAGCAATATGCAGAATGTGTTAAAGGAAAAAAATCTGACTACAAAATAAACACAGGATGGATATTTATCAATATATATGCACACAGAAAATAGAACTGGAATTATATGCACCAACATGTTAATATGTGGGTAAAGAAATTATTTTGTTTCAGTGTTCTTTTCTGCAATTTCTGTCTTTTCAGAAATGAACTACATGTATTGCTTATGTAATCATGAAATTTAAATTACCGTAAGTGAAGATAATCTGAAGACAATCTGAAAACAAAGATTATGCAAAGAGGAGAGACAGTAGTGAATATCAAAGTAATAAGGTAAGTGGACAGTGATGTGACTAGAAGGGAGACGAGAAAGGGAGGCAAGATATAAAGGTAAAGTATATGAGACTTTGAATCAGCATGGATTTGGAACCCAGTTCTGTTATTACTTGCCAAATCTTATGCATTCTGGGGTTGTTGTGAGGTTAGAATTAAAATGGGATTATGTATAAGAAAGCATCTGTAAACTTCAAGTGCTATGCAAAGGTAACTCCCAGCGGAGAATGAACATCAGCAGAAACCTTATAGAAATCTTCAGGATAAGCTAAGCCTACTTATTTCATTGCTACTTATTTCATTGCAGGTTGTCAAGCTAAGGCAAAATCAAACAAGTACTGTATTATCATTAATGAATTATAGTCTCATGATTTATAGACTGTGTACTGTAAAAGACAACAGTTCATTCATACCTGACAATCATATCGGCCGAACAACAGGATAAACAGAGACTTAAAGGCATTAAAGTAAATTGCAGGTTTAGCAAAGTAGTCTTTTTTTTTTTTAACTGGAGCATAGAATATGTAAGACAAATTATGTAAAATGAAGACAATGATCTAGTTGTGCCAAATTATGACCAGTCTTGAATGACTTGTTCACCACTGTTACTGCCTATGCCTGAAGTAGTACCTTTGCCAATGGTAGATGCTCAGTAAATATTCCTTGAATAATATGTTGAATGATATATATTTGAAATTTATTCTGGTAAAAGGAAGCAATGTTTTCAAAGGTAAAGGTAGTCTATTTAAAAAATTAACCAGTAGCAAAGGGACAGTTGGATGGAGCAGGGAAGGAGTGTAAGCAAGGCAATCAATTTGGAAACACCCAATCCAAGACCCACCTATGGCAAATGGATTTCACCACGTGTGTCAACCTGATGGATTAATAGTGTTTGTCTATGCAATATGTTGAAAAAACTGTGAAATTGGCATCAGGTCTTAAAAGAAGGAGTGCAGTGATTTGCCATCCAGCACTCAGAGCCAGAGTCTAGATAGTGAAAGTCTAAATAAACAGAAGCAGTGGGAACTGAAAAGTATTTCAAAAGTATTCTGATGGCAAGATTGACCAAACTGATGACACACTTAGATTTGGAGACTAACGGAGTCAAAAGTGAATGAAGTTTCTAACACTAGTGACTGGTGGATAGTAATGTCATTAACTGAAATGGAAGACATTGGAGGAGAGGCAGATGGTAGGGAAAAGATGAATATGATGAATTTAAGATGCCTTTGAGAAACTCTGACTCTGAAGGCAGAGTTCCTGAATTCAAATCTCAGCACTGAAATGTATTAACTCTATGAGCAAGAGATAATAAGAGTAGCAAACTCAGAAGATTATTGTGATGATTTAATGAGACAATACATGGAAAAATTATAGAACATTTTGTGTCACATAGTCTTCAAATGTTATTAAG